TACATAGTTACCATTAGCAACCAAACTTGTAATCTCATCAAAGAATGAAATCAGGTTTGTTTGACAAGACCTTTTTTTCTTTAAAACTATGTTGATGCGGGATGGGGGTTGGGTTTAGTATTTGGACAGGTGATGTATGTGGGGGGAGCTGGTACCCAGATGGGTGATGAATGGTGTGGGGGTTAGTACCAGAGAGGTGATGCGAGAGATGGTTGTACCTGGAGGGGTGATGGGGTTGGGGGGTTGGTATCTGGATGGGGGATGTTGGGGATAATTGGTCTGGAGGAGTGGTACCTGGATGGGGGATGGTGGGTTGGTACCTGGATGGGGGATGATAGGGATGGCTATATTTGCACGGGTGATGACAGGGATGGGGGAAGTCGATACTGGCCTGGGCATTGCAGATGAGGGGGGAGGGGAATGGGGAACAGACCTCTGCATGGGCGGGGGGGGGGGTGACACCTGCATGGGCATGGGGGGAAGGGGGTGGTTGGCACCTGCACGGGTGTTGCAGGAGTGGGACTGGGGAATCTGTACCTGCGCGGGCGGAAGGGGGGTGGTACCAAAGCGCCCATTGGTGGAGGCGGGAAGCCTGGCGGGGGAGGGGGGGGAGAGAGGGACGGGGATTGGTGGAGCCGGGGAAGCCCGGCCGGAGGGTGGGGGGGTATTGTTCGTCCCTGACGCTACAGGAAGTGGGCGGGGTTCTGATCTGTGGCGTCACTTCACCAACTGGGGCGTGACGTGTGGGGGTCAGGCCCGCCGTTTCAATTCCGGATGGAACGGGTGCGCTTCCGGCGTCGCCGTTGCCTGGTGACGGTTGGGGGCGGCTGCCGTTACGGGCGAGGCCCCGAGAGCTGGAGCGGCGCAGGCTCAGCCGGGCGGGCGCGGCTTTCCCACGGCGACCCCGGGACAGCAGGTCGGGCCCGCGGCGCTGCCGGGGAGGTCAGAGGCGGGAGGTCGGTAGGGAGTCAGTGCGGGGGGAGGTTTCTTAGCACCAGAATTAACTTCTCCTTCCCCCCACATCCACAAGTGGGCCTGATACTGCAGACACACTCAAGTAACCCTATTGAATTTATTGGGGCTACTCACATGCATTTGTGTTTGCAGGACCAAAGCAGTTGCTGTCCCTTGGCTCATGCAAAGCTGAGCTCATTAGTGCTTTAAAGTTCATAAGAAACTTGCTGGCCTCTATTCTGTTTCAGGGAAATGAGTGACAGGAAAGCAGCAGGAAAAGCTGCAGCTCAGAAAGGTTCCAAACCAGCTTCGCTGGTGAAGAAATCAGGAACGGCATCTAGAAAACCAGGTAGGGTTGTGGTGGGGGAATCCTGGTTCTGTGTCTGTTGCTGTTGTCTTTCAGCCTGCTGCATCATCATCAGTTTGGGAGTTCCAGGTAGGGAGTGTGGTTTCTTTCTGTGTAGGTACGGTGCTACCCCATGCAGCAGATGTGGCCAAAAATGGAACAGTCATAATGACCTGTGGTGGATGTGCTTTGTTTTCCTACATGCCGGAAGACAGCAAAGATTTCTTATATAGGAATTGTAAGTTGGTGGTGATGCTGGCGGAGAAGATATATGATCTGGAATCACCAGTATCAATGCTGCATACTAACTGAGATGGCAAAGACTTATTGGACAACAAGATTTGGGAATTGTTGCCACCAATTCTACTGGGGAAGGATTGGTGAAGAAGGAACATAAGAGTGTAGAAACTAAAGAAGATGACTGGCAATTTGCGAACAACAGAGGAAAGAGAAACAGGAGGCATTCAGCTCTTCTAGAAGTATTGAATTGCAATACTCAGTGAGGCAACTACAGAAGGAATGGAACAAAATTTACAGGGGGTAGCTGCTTGCTTCTTACTGGCAAGGATGTCCAAGAGGTTTTTAACTGTTCTAAAATGACAAGCAACCATCATCAGTGATTCCATATTAAGAAGGCTGGACAGAGAATTCAGCAGGATGATGTGTAGCTTCCCTGGAACAAAGACATGAAACATAACTGTAAGATTGGATGGGGACCTGAAGTTGGCTGGCAAGTCTCCTGGTGATGATACACATTAGAATACATGATGGACAGCATCACATGGAAGTACAAAGATTATTGAAAACTTCAGGGATGTCAGCCTTTGGTACTTTTATGGCCCCCATTACTGTAGTATCTGAGCACCTCACAGTCATTAATGTATTTATCCTTAAAACACTCCTGGATGGTAAAGAAATGCTTTTATCCCCATTTCACAGGTGGGGAGCTGAGTGGTTAAGTGATGTGCCTGAGGTCACACAGGATATGGTTGGTGGAGCAGGGATTTGAACACACATCTCCTAAGTCCTAAGCTAGTGCTGTAACCACTGGACCAAAGACTCATTTGTTTTGGAAGTGTTGTGAAGAAGAAAAATTCCAAGTCATCTCTCAAAGATCCTTCCATTCCTATAAATGAGGGACGGCAGAAGGCAGAAATTAGTGGAGGTGCACCATTATCTATGTGGGTGATATGAAACTGAAGGTTTCGGTTTTGTGAAACATTGGGTCACATTCCAGTGGGAGAAGGGCCTGAACAAATAGGACCGCCAGCAACACAGAAGTAGGTGAGCTAATCTCTGAAGATCAGTTGGAGCAGGTAGGAGTGTGTTAAACTAGGAATTCCAGGAGAAGATGCTAAGAAGGCAGTTGCCCTACAAATGCTTAAATATATCACTCAAGCTCAAGGTATTGTGAATATATTGAGATGAGGTGGGAAAGAATGTGAAGGGGGGGAAAATTCAGTTGCTTTTATACAAATGCTAGGAGTCTGGGTAATAAGGAAGAAAAATTGTAATTTAAAACTGTCTCATAGATTTTAAGGCCAAAAAGTACCATTGCGATCATCTAGTCTGACCTCCTGTATAACTCAGGTTATAGGACTTCATTGAAATACTTCCTGTTTGAACACGAGTATATCTTTATAGAAAAATAGTCAATGTTGATTTAAAAATTGTGATGATGGAGAATCTACCACAACCCTTGTTAAGATGTTCCAATGGTTAACTACCTTCACTGTTTAAAAAAAAAAAAAAAAAAAAAGCCTTATTTCTAGTCTGAATTTGTCTACCTTCAACTTCTAGTCGTTGAATCTTGCTATACCTTAGTCTAGTAGACTGATGAGCCCATTATCAAATTTTTGTTCTCCATGTAGGTACTTACAGATTGTGATCATGTCACTCCTTAACCTTCTCTTTTGTTAAGCTAAATAAATTGAGCTCCTGGTACCTATCACTATAAAGTGTGTTTTCCAAACCTCTAATCAATCTCCTGGCTCTTCTTTGAACCTTCTCCAATTTATCAACTTCTTGAAACAATTACGGATACCAGAACTAGACACACTATTCCAGTTGTGATTGCACCAGTCCCAAATACAATGGTAATATAGACTCCCTACTTAAGTTTTCCCTGGGAATCCAAGCATTGCAGTAGTCCTTTTGGCCACAGCTTTACACTGGAAGTTCATGTACAGCTGATAGTCCATCCTCACCCCCAAATCCTTTTTAGAGTCACTGATTCCCAGGATAGAGTCCCCCATTCTGTAAGAATGGTCTACATTCATTTTATAACTTTACATTTGACTGTTTTGAAACATATATTGTTTTCCTGTGCCGAGTTCACCAAGCAATACAGATCCCTCTCTATTAGAGACCTGTCCTCTTCATCATTTAACACTAAATAATGTGACCTGGTATAATGAGCACTTCCATACTTCATTTTTCTTTTTGTCATTTTTTTCTCAAAATGGCTTGAAGAACATAAGATTGTCCATAGAGGGTCAGACCAATGGTCCATGTAAACCAGTATCCTGTTTTCCAACAGTGGCTGGTGCCAGATGCTTCAGAAGGAACGAACAGAACAGGGAAATTATCAAGTGATCCATCCCCTGTCATCCAGTCCCAGCTGCTGGCAGTCAGAGGTTTAGGGATACCCAGAGCATGGGGTTGTGTCCCTGACCTTCTTAGCTAATAGCCATTGATGGACCTGTCTTCCACTAACTTATCTAATTCTTTTTTGAACCCAGTTATACTTTTGGCCTTCACAACATCCCCTGGTAATGAGTTCCACAAGTTGACTGTGTGTTGTGTGAAGCAGTGTTTCCTTATGTTTGTTTTAAGTCTGCTGCCTATTAAGTTTGTTGAGTGACCCCTGGTTCGTGTGTTGTGTGAAGGGGTAAATCACACTTCCTTATTCACTTTCTCCATACCATTCATGATTTTATAGATCTCTATCCTATCCCCCCCTTAGTTATCTCTTTTCCAAGCTGAACGATCAGTCTTTTTAATCTTTTCTCATGTGGAAGTAGTTCCATACCCTTAATCATTTTTGTTGCCTTTCTCTCTATATTTTCCAATTTTAATGTATCTTTTTGAGATGGGGCAACCAGAACTGCAGGCATTATTCAAGGTGTGGACATATCATGGATTTATATTTATATTTTCTGTCTTATTATCTATCCCTTTCCTAATGGTTCCTAACATTCTTTTCTCTTTTTTTTTTTTTTTTTTGACTGCCGCTTCACATTGAACAGATGTTTTCAGAGAACTAGCCACAATGACTCCAAGATCTTTCTTGAGTAGTAAGAGGTAATTTAGACCTCATCATTTTATATGTATGATTGGGGTTATGTTTTCCAATGTGCACTATTTTGCATTTATCAACACTGAATTTCATCTGCCATTTTGTTGCCCGGTTGCCCATTTTTCTGGGATTCCTTTGTAGCTCTTTCCAGTCAGCTTTGGATTTAATTGTCTTGAGTAATTTTGTATCGTCTTCAAACTTTGCTACCTTGCTGTTTACTCCCTTTTCCAGATCACTTATGAATCTGTTGAACAGCACTGGTGCCAGTACAAATCCTCACACACGAATACAGACGCTCCCCGGGTTACGCAAACCCGATTTACGGAAATCTGGATTTACGGAAAAAGTTCTGTAAATCTCGCAAGCTTTTTTTGTTTTTGCGTAATTGTCAGAGATACGTTCCCAACTTATGCAAAATTCGACTTACGCAAGGCGTTCTGGAATGGAACGCTTGCGTAAGTCGGGGAGCTTCTATAATGAATATGCACAAGGGGGTTCAATTAAGCTCAGCAATGAGATTGCACAGGCAACCTTAATTCTATTATATCCTACCTTTTGAGCATTTGACTTCACAACTTTAATGTTCTTTTAGCATAGTGTATGGGGTGGTTTTTTTGTAATTATATATGCACTGTGCTAAGTGTTTGTTTTATATTATAGAAGGCAGGTTGAAGAAGTGCACTTTGCACGGTGGTGAGGCTTGTGGTAGTTTTTATTTCCAATGTAAGTTTGTTCAGCAGTCTTGGACCAGCTCCAGCCTCCTTCACAGGCGAGTTTACCCTTGCTGTAGACAGTTCCATTGTGCCGAAGGAGTGGATCTGTTGACTGGTGTCCCTAGCCTCTGTTTGTCAGAAGCTGGGAATGGGTGGCAGGGGATGGATCACTTGATGATTACCTGTTCTGTTCATTCCCTCTGAAGCACCTGGCATTGGCCACTGTTGGAAGACCGGATACTGGGCTAGATGGACCTTTGGTCTATTCTAGTATGTCTGTTCTTATAACTGCTGTCCTCAACCTGGAGCTTTAGGCATTCTTCTAGGTATCCTTGGGTCAAACCATTGAAGGTAAGTACTGAGACCTTAAACTTCATTTATTGTTCTATGGGAAGACAGCGTATTGAGCGGAAGACAGGTTTGATGTGCTCACGATAGCCTGTGTTGCTGTGATAGGCAGCTTCATTCTGTACTAGTCGAAGTTTCCTGAGGGCTTACATCTTCATTTTCAGGTGGATCACATTGCTGTAGGCCAGCTGCAAAATGACTGACGTTTGTACAACTGAGCCCAGAACATCATCTTCCAGGATGGGACACTATCCTCTGGTCAGACATAGATGATAGAACATGTTACCTTCTAAAGGTTAGAGAGAGCAGGAGGACACAGAGGCGGATTGTGTAAACGGGCTTCTTTATTGCGGTACTTGTTCCCCTCGACTAAATTGTCGAGTAAGCACTGAATTAGTTACAGCACACTCCTTTTATCTAAGTTAATATGTAAATATCTACATTTACTACAACACCCCCAAAACCCTTACTGAGTAATATAAACGCCCATGCAATGAATATTAATAGCTATATACTGAATATAATTATTCCCACCCCTGATTACTGTTTACAGCATTAGCATATTCTACAGATAACTTTTACTTTGAAGATACATTTCTTTACAATAATTGCAGCTACAAATTTCCTTAATCAGCAGTTTGCAG